TGGTCTCAAAACTAAAATGCAAAATAAGTCTTTTTTAACCTTTAAGTTTAAAGAAAAAATCTATAAATAAGTATTGCCACTAATGTTCAGTACCATTTACATTGGACTAGATTGAAAATAAAATGAAAATATAATTATAAATAAACGACAACCTTTTTTCTCAAAACTAAAATACCAAAATAAATCTCTTTTCAACCTTTAAGTTTAAACAAAACTTCTATAAATAATTATTGCCACTAATGTTCAGTACCATTTACATAGGACTAGAATGAAAATAAAATAAAAATATAATTATAAATAAACGACAACCTTTTGGTCTTAAAAACTAAAATACAAGACAAATCTTTTTTAAAGTTATGTAAACAAAAGAAAGTAAAATAATCATTGCCATAAATTTTCCGTTAAAGAGTTTAAAAATAATAATTTTGGTAGTCTTTTTCCTAAAATACGGTTACGTGTTTTCCTAAGAATATTTCCCGCTTTTGAAAATAATCTTTCGGCTGGCGCGGAACTGGCCATCACAGATAGGTGTTTTAGAGCCAATTCTGTTAGCTTAGGCAAAGTTCCTTCAGAGCTTCTCCATATATTGAGGGGATCTCCCTTAATATTTGATAGCGGTGCCGCAATGTATAGGTCCAATTCTGTATTTTTGGGTATTGTCGTGTTGGCTGCCATTATTTTTTCATGGTGTACCTGCCATATATCTTGTCCGTCGACAGCCGCTCCTGATGAAAAAAATGATTCAGAACTAGCCGCTACTGGATTATCATCATTCCCGTTGTTCAAGCTCAAACATCTGTTCATATAATTTATTGTTTTTGACAACGATACCGCCTCATCTAAATATATTTTTTTGAATCTTGGATCCAGAAACGTGGCAACCGAAAAATGGTGCACTTTTTGGATATTATCAAATCTTTTGCTTAATTCTGTTTGCAAGGATTTTTTTAGTTGGTTTGCCAAATCACTCGTTGGTGTTATACCATCTAACAGAGTTCTCAAACATTTAATAATAGGTATGGCTTTACTAGCTGTAACATATTTTTCTGCACTCATTTCTTCGGTAACATTTTGAAAAGGCTTTAAAATTTTTTCAATTTCTTTCAACACAACAATTTCGTTTGCTGTAAGCATTTGGGGCGCATTTGGGTAATTTATCAACACGGATCCTATAGTGCTGCTCATTAACACGTCCATAACACGTCACGTCAATACGTCCCCTATCAAATGTTTCAATTTTCCTTCAGGAACATTTTGAAGCTTTTGCGCTTGTCGCAATTCTTCAGCGCCAACACCACTTTGGTGGAACCAAATCACGATTTTACGGACTCTGTCTAGAAAATGTTTTATATCAGTTGTATTTACAGAATTTTCGATCACCAAGTTCAGTGTATGTGCTAAGCACCTAACATGTTTTGCTCGACCAAAAAGAATTTCAATAGCTTTAACTATATTGCTGCCATTGTCAGTAGTAACGCTTACAATTTTTTCGTGAGACAAACCCAAATCTAAACAAATTCTATTTATCGTTTCTGACAAATACTCTCCTGTATGGTGATCGTGAAGTTGTTCACATGCAATGTTGGTTGACTTCATTTCAAAGTTTTCTATAAAGTGCACTGTCACGCCTAAAAAACTCCTCAACTGCATATCTTTCCATTCATCTATTGTAAGACAGACGTTTTTCACTAATCTTAATTTTTGTATGCTAAGAGTTTTTTTTTCTTCATATTTAATATCTATGAGATCTGTGATAGTTTTACGGCACGGAACCTTATACAAAGGAGCTACAGTCTTCATTAATTTTTTAATTCCTTCTACCATACTGTAGGGTAGACTGTCCCGGCATATCATTTCTGCTATGTTCAGAGTTATTTCCTTGTGTTTATCGCCATCTGAGGCGTATGCTAAAATTTTCGAAAAAGAAGCTCCAATGCTTGATCTGACACGCTTTGGTGTTGAAGGTGCAGCCTCAATTTCTGTTGATGAAGATTGTATCGACGCATCTTTGTTTCCAGACTTGCTGATATCCTGAATATCATCTTCACGGAAGTTCTACGGCAATTAAATAAACAACAGTTCATTTTACAAGAGTCAAAATTAATTCCTAATGCGTGCGAATTTCAAAAGTAATAAAGTGTGTGAACTTGCGCGTGAAAGTGAGTCATTTTGCTAATTAATTTTATTATGTTCTTAACAAAAATAAAAAATAAATATCAACAATTAAAATGTCGAATTATTTGTATCGAAGTATCGAAGGTCACGTGAGTGCTAGAGAAACTACGATTGTAAGATGTTGTCGATAAATAAAATGTTTTGAGAAATTATCATTAACTATGTAGTGGCGGTGTATGAATGTTCATATCATCCCGTGTGTGTCGTAAGAGGCGACTACACTTGAGGAAAAGTATAGTAAGTATTTTTAAAGTAATTATTTTTAAATGACCTATTTTACGTGGTAGAGCCATGCTGCAGCTATATTAATTGTATAGTAGTAGCAGGAATGGGTCGGCTCGACCGGGGAGGCACCACGCTCTCACAGAATACCAGCGTAAATTAGCGGTTTAGTGCTGCTGTGTTTCGTATGGTGAGTGTAGAAAACCGGAGACCATTTTTACTGGAAAAGAGGCATTCCATTTTAGTCCCCACGGCTGACAACGCATCTCCATTTTGATGTAGATGTCTATAGGCCACTGCAACCATTTACCGTCAGGTGGACTGTGTGCTCGCTTATCAACCTTAGCCTATAAAAGAAATCGTTCCGGTTACGAAAAAGTCACAGTGAAAAATAATTGTGACTTTGTCACGTTGATAACATTTACGTCACTTCTACACCTAAGGCAAAACTACACCTCATATGTTATAATCAAATAACTACTATGTAGAAAGATACAAGGTTATAGAAACACTCCAAATTTCATAAAGAAAAGAAATATATAATATAACTGTATCAATATACTCAGTAGGAGCCTCTAATAAATAAATAAAAATTCAATCATAGGTATAAACGTTGAGTAAACGTAGTGAATATATACTGTTTAGTTTCGAGGGGTCCCTCCTAAATATTACTATACTCTTTGGCGGGTTTTAAAAATTTGGCAGTTGAAATCCGATCGGTTTCGATCAAGTTACTATACTCTTTGGTTTCGATTCGCTGCCGTTTGATAGATAAATTTGTTTATGTTAATTCTACCATGATATAGATATTTGCTTTTAATTTAAATGTTGAGATTATAAAACGTATGACTCGCAAGAAAAACGAACTTTACAGATTTCAGTATTTTACTGTCATAAGAACCATGTGCAATATAAAATATATTAATTTATGGTACTTACCTGGATAGCCTGTAAGACAGTGGGATGTTTTCGCTCCATATGTTGTTTTAAATTTGTAGTATTACTACATGTCTTTAATTCCTTCGGGCAATACTTGCATTGTGCTCTAGTATTATCCTTCTTCATTACAAAATACTCCCGCCAGCTACTTTTAGGAGTTTTAGACATTTTTATTGTTAAATAATTATTTACGCTCTCCAAAGAAAGAAATAAATAAAACCACAGGATACTAATTTTACTCTTGGCGGAGAAAGAAAACTGTTGAAAACTTGAAAATATACGAAACAGTGTTGCCACCTTGCAGAAAAATTTATCATTAGTTATGGTCTGAAATTTCACCAGATTTAGGGATATTTTTACTTAAAAATATCCTTTGAATTCACCAAATTATTTAAAAACAAATCACATGGTATGTAATAAAAATACAATTTTAATTGTGGAAATAATTACAATAAACACAACATATAAAATCGAGACGGCCTGCTGGTCACAGTATCTTCAACGGACAGACGAGTATCACAAGAGTGCAATATTTTTAAAGTATTCTCGCCATAATTTACAGTCTCATAAATATCTTTGTACTCATCACAGCGCTTGGGTGAATATCAGAACTAATTAAAAGTTTCTCTAATCAGAAGCTCTATATTTCGCGGTAACGGTTTCTCTGGCACACGTGAAACAGTGTGAATGAGTGCATGTGTGGCAAACACAGCTGACTAGAATTTAATTAGGTACGCGTGCGCCATTATTGATTCCAGTCATGACAGAGGCATCTACCCCGATTCCAATTAAGTTTTTTATTAGGAGACATTCTTACATTTCAATATTCATATATCAACCTTTCAGTATTCAGCACTCACTGAAACCAACTTTAAATACGATTAGGTCCTCATTATTAGTCGGGAAAAGTCCAAGGTAGGCTTAGCATAACCAAACAAAGATGTCTAATTAAGTTATTGTAATGTGAGAAAAGGATAGTGCTGTTTTGACATAAACTGGGGAATTTACCAACAGGTAAAGAGGGTTGCTAATATGTATTTTCTAAATTCTTCAAGATTTGATAAATATCATTAAAAGTCATCAAATAATTTTTTAGTGATTATCTTTTTCAGAATATCACTATCTATCTCCAAAAATTCACTAAATTAGTGACAAAATCATTAAAGTGGCAACGCTGCGTATTACGAATCCGTAATACTTCGTACTTCGTTTGTACTTCGTATTACGAAACGAAAGGCGAAACTGTTTTATATATTTAGAGATACTTACAGATGGCGCTGACTTTTGATCGACTTGTTCATTTTAGTAAACTTACTTCGCGTTTTTTCTTCGGTCACACAGATGACGCTGTTCTTTTGATCGACTTATTCATGTCATTGAACTTACTTAACGTTTTTACATCCATCGCACAGATAGCGGTGTTTACAAAAATCGATTAAAACGTGTAATTTACATAATCGATTTATTAAAAATCGATTTTTATTACCAAAAAATGTACTTTTAAAAATCGATTTTTAGAAAAAAATAATCGATTAATATAAAAATCGATTATTTTTTAACATCCCTACCTCTTGATAGAGAGTAATTGTGTTCTGTGCTCCATACGCTCAACAGTCAAAACATCCATCTCCGCTGTCAAATATCTGTGGTCAGTAACTGTCAATGTCATCCATTACGGCGATTCAATTCATACCATTGTTTTACTTTATTTTTTCATTATTTTTGTTTACTATTATACTTCCCATTTAGCATTAATGTTATAATAATATATAAATTTAGATGAGAAAAACATGTTTATTATATTTTATTGTTTAAACCATAATATTATACCCACATATTACATAGAATATGGTGAAACGGAAGATCTTTTGACAGTGCAGCGCTGAGTTATTATGGACTGATCTCGAACATCTATTGTTAGGTAACCTAAGGTATTCATTAAATTGTATTCTTCATCTCGTACACACCCTCTCACACACGACATTTTACATATTTTTTTTCTTTCTATTTACATTTTTTATAACCCTCATGTAATATAAAAAATAAAGTTAGGTAATTTTTCCATAATATAAATAAGTAATCTATGTTTATTATGTCCGGGGAGTGGCGCCATATGCTGAAATACAGGTTCTGGCCTAGTTCGGCAATGGATACTATTTTTCATGTTATAAGATAAAATATTCCTGTGTAGTTTATAAATAGACGTATTGTTAAATAATATATATGGTAATAAAGATTATTATAATCATAGGAATGATGCAATTTTGAAAGATACTGTTGAGAGGTCAAGAATATCCACTAGCACAGTTTCGTCTCGTTTCGTGGGTGCCGTAAGAGGCGTCGGAGGAAAACTGAAACAGGAAATGGGCAGCAGCATCTTCTTAATAATAACTAAAAATTACAGGTTTTTTATAACCAACGATAAAACACAATGACTTTCAATAAGTGTTATCCGTATTGAATAAAATGTATTGTATTCTATTTATTCAAAAAAATTAAATACAAAATATTATTAATATTATATGACACGATGAGGAGGCGGAGAGGAGGGCGCGGCGGCCGCCTCGTGCCCGACGCCCGCCTGCTGCTGCCGTCGCTGGGAACCACACGCCTCGCACAGCACCACCACTCGAACTCGCCACCACCTCCTCATGATATACTTCCGCCAACAAGTACTCATTGCCGTTCTCCTCATCTAACCGCTCAACGACAACGACCACTTCTGGACGAACATTTCGCCTGCAAGACAAATATAAAAATTACATAACATAATTTAGTTCATACATATTTTATGTAATACTAGCTGTTCCCCGCGACTTCGCCTGCGTATTAATTTATGACCATTAGATTTCATGGATTTTAATTTATTTGTGTAGAACCCTAATTATTCCTTATAACACCAGTCAGTTATCTGCCAGTGAAAGTCCCGTTAAAATACTCCATAGAGTAGGGAACGTCTCTGCGAAGCGGCGTCGAACGGTTCGTGTATTGTATTTTTATACCTATTATACATTCTAAATCAAATATCCGATTTTAATGAACTACTGGTACATAAATACCCTTAATGATAAAACTATCTATTCAAATAAGAATTAATACTATGAAACTAACCATCCTAGCTACCACGGCTCCTATAAACTATTAAATATAACATAAATGTTTATAATAGAATAATTATATACAAATTAATTTTTATAGAATCAAAGATGAAAATAGTAACTAGTTACAACAGTTACTAAACTCCAAAGAGACAGTATAATTCCTTCATGGGGCAACATAGGTATATGCTTTTAAAACAAAGTCCCAGAAAATAAAAAACCTTATCAATCAGTAAAAATTTTTAGTAAGCTAAATTTGTTTAGTAAAGGTTATGATTGATGATAATCCTTGGGAACGAGGAGATTGCTACCATACTAATTTTATTCTATAAAAAATATTGTAAATTAATTCTATTCACCAAAGTCTCGCTGGGTTTCTAACTCGTTCTTCCCAAGACGGAGGCTTTTTCATTTCTCTAATTTATAAGAGTGAAGAATTTTCATTGAATATAGACAATGTTTAAAAACTGTAGTAGCTTCTACTTACACATTCTTTTGAAAAAGCTTTAATACAAACATAATAACAAAATTAACTTACGAAGAAGATGGTGACACTGGTAATGGCGGATTTACTTGTGCTGGCTCAGTGGAAGGTGCGGGTCCTAAAGGGAGACTTAGACACTCCAACTGCTGTACATGTTCATCAAACATGGCCAGTAGGATAACCTCATTGGAGTTATCGAAGTCCCCCTGCATATCCTGCTCCTGAAAAGCAAGTAAGATGAGACATTTTAGATACACATATAACATCTTTTTATGGTCATGAGTTGGATTGACCAGGATACCACTGCTGTCTTTTAATTAGTAAGTGAGAAAAACCAGAGACTTCATAGATGTGTTTCATGTTTACGTAATATGATAGGTGTAGATAATTTATAGGCTGTTTTAATACAAATGGTATATAAATACCAACATGTATATGTATATATATATATATACAGGACGGTAAACCAACATGACAGGAGAGAGATCAGACGCAGGACCAATGGCTGTACATGCTTTTCGCGGTATGGGGGTGAGACAGCGCCAACTTCCTGACTCTGGGCTGCTACTGGGAATTTCTTGACGGAAAAACTCATTAAATAATTTTATTGACTAAACCCAGAATTTGAACCCGGGACCTCATAATCAGCAGTCGCGTTATACAACCACTATATGCACTCATATTTATAATCATAATAAAGACCAGAGTATAATAAATAACTTACAAAATTATTATGTGAAAATGTTTCTTCCCCTTCTTTGCTGAGATCGCCCTCGTTGAGTCACAGCATAAGATATCAAATTCCGCCATTTTTCTGAAAATGTATGTAGTACACACGTGAACATTTTGTGTCTTCATGAAAATCGAAAAGAGTAAGAAGACAAAGTTTACATAGAAAAAGTTTCATATACAAAGTATCTTGGCGTTGTGGTGGATCAGCGACTTTCCTGGTACAGACATGTTGAAATAGTATCGAGTAGAATTCGAAAGCTCACTTGGATATTTAAAACTTTAAGACATGTTGCCAGTTTAGATCTTTTGAATCAAATATATGTAGCGCTAGCTCAATCTATTATATATATAATATATTGTATACCAATTTGAGGGGGTACTTACAAAAGTAAATTTATTGAAATTGAAAGAGCTCAGAGATGTCTACTAAAGGTTATGCATTTTATACTGTACAGGTACTCCACTAGCTTTTTGTATGCATCAAGTGGGCTGATTTCGGTGAGGCAGTTGTACATATTACACACTGTATTGAAAAAACATAAATCTTTGGCTTTTAATCCTATTTACAGTAGTAAAAGAAGAAATTATAGCGTAGCTCCTATTTGGAGAGTGAAAACCACCTTTGCAAAACATCAATATAACAAGCAATCAGAACATTTATACAATCAGATTAATAAAATATTGCAAATATATCCATTAAAGACATATGACTGTAAGAAAAAAATAATGCAGTGGCTTAAGACAATTACGATCAAACTGAAGCTTTATTACAATTTTTTTTTTTTTTTTTAAAAACGTTACCCCCGCACTAGGATTTTCTCCTGTATCGTGGAGGCAGTTTACAAACACAAATTGCATAAGGACAAACATCCAGACGTGGAACAATTATTTGTAGGCCATACAAATACTTGTTCCGTGCGGGATTCGAACCCGCGCCCCCCAGCACAACAACTCATTGCTAAGCCACTGCGCCACGGAGCCGTATTATAATTTACCTTATAAGCTTATAACACATTCACTCACTGTCTTTTTTCATACATACACACACACGCGCGCGCGCGTACCCATACACACCCTGTTTCTTTTTTTGTTGAATGTATTTAGTTAAGGGAGGGCGAGGACGTTCTACCACAAGTATCTTTATACTTAAAAGAAGTCCTCAAACTTATACTAATAGAATATGTTGGAAACAATAAACTTTCATTTCATTTCATTTCAAAGTTTATAAAATTTATACATATGAATTATGAAATACTAAATTCTACACTCAAATATCTAACTACTATATAGAAAAAAACACTCGAAATTTCATAAAGAAAAGAAATATATAACATAAAATTATATCGACATCGTAATAATAAACACTCAGTAGGAGCCTCTAATAAATCGAAATAAAATCAATCATCATCATCATCATTACAGCCCTTCACAAGTCCACTGCTGAACATAGGCCTCCCCCAAAGAATGCCACAAAACACGGTCCTGAGCCACCTGCATCCATCGACTTCCTGCATGTCTTACCAGGTCGTCACTCCATCTCGTGGGGGGACGCCCTACACTTCGCCTACCGGTACGAGGCTGCCACTCGAGAACCTTTCTTCCCCATCGGTTGTCGGTTCTTCGAGCTATATGGCCGGCCCACTGCCACTTCAGCTTACTAATCCGTTGGGCTATGTCGGTTACTCTGGTTCTACTGCGGATATCCTCATTCCTAAGTTTATCACGCAGAGAAACTCCGAGCATAGCCCTCTCCATAGCTCGCTGAGCGACCTTGAGCTTCCTCATACGGCCAGCAGTGAAGGACCACGTCTCAGTTCCATAAGTCATCACTGGCAACACGCACTGGTTGTACAATTTCGTTTTCAGGTTTTGAGGTATGTCTGACGAGAAGATGTGTCGGAGCTTCCCGAACGCTGCCCAGCCGAGTTGAATCCGTCGATTGACCTCTCGGTCGAAGTTGGACTTACCTAGTCGGACTATTTGTCCCAGGTAAACATACTCGTCAACAACTTCGAGCTTAGTGCTCCCAACAACTACCGGCATAGGTGTGACATGGACATTGAACATGATCTTTGTTTTGTCGATGTTCATCTTAAGACCTATCCGTTGGGAAACACTATCGAGGTCATTGAGCATAGTGCTTAGGTCCTCCAGCGATTCTGCCATAAGGACTATATCGTCGGCAAATCGAAGGTGAGTGATGTACTCGCCATTGATGTTGATACCGTATCCTTTCCAGTCCAGAAGCTTGAAAACGTCTTCCAATGCAGCGGTGAAGAGTTTCGGGGATATGACGTCACCCTGTCTTACACCTCTCTGCAATTGGATAGGTTTCGTACTCTGGTTCTGTACTCGGATAGCCATCGTAGCCCTACTGTACAAGCACTTCAACACTTCGATATACCGACAGTCAACTTGGCACCGCTGAAGGGACTGCAGCACCGCCCAAATTTCGACGGAATCAAAGGCTTTCTCATAGTCCACATACGCCAGACATAGTGGCAAATTGTACTCTTCGGACTTCTGTACAATTTGCCGAAGGGTATGTATGTGGTCTATGGTGCTAAAGCCCTTTCGGAAACCGGCTTGTTCGGGAGGCTGGAAGTCGTCAAGTCTGCGCGCGAGACGATTCGTAATGACTCGAAAACAGCACGTAGACGCGGCTCAGAAGGGAAATCGGTCTGTAGTTCTTCAAGAGAGCATTGTCATCTTTCTTAAAGAACAAGACCACCGCACTTCTGCTCCACGCCTCCGGTGTAATGCCACTATGGAGGACGGAATTAAAGAGCTTCTGAAGGACTTCAAGTACCGGTCTTCCACCCGCTTTCAGAAGCTCCGCTGTAATTCCATCCTCGCCTGGGGCCTTACCGTTTTTAAGGTGCTGGAGAGCCATTCTAATCTCGCTCAGACTGACGTCCGGGATATCTTCGGAATAGTGTCGGATGAGACTCACTCTTGGATCGTTACTCACACTTGCGTGTGGCTCCAACGATGACGTGTACAGCTGCCCATAGAACCTCTCAATCTCACTCAAAATCTCAGGTGTCCCGGAAACGATGCTGCCACATTCTGTCTTCAGCTTTGACAGGTGGCTCTTTCTGGCAGACAGATCTCTGGCAAAGACTTTGGAGCCTTGGTTCCGCTCGATCGCTTCTTCAATACGAGCTGTATTGAAGTTGCGTAAGTCCCGCCGCATGCATTTGGCGATCTGTCTGTTCAGATGTCTGTATGCTGTCAAGTCTGTTGAAGAATGTAGCTTCATCTCCCGTCTAACAGCCATGAGATTAAGAGTGTGATCGGAGAGTTTTTGTGTTCTTCTGCGGCGGGTCTTGCAGAACTTAGCTCCGACAGCATGGACAGTTTCCACGAGCTTGTCATTCATATCGTCCACTTCATTGCAGTCTTCTAGGCACTGAAAACGGTTTTGTAACTCGAGCTGAAAGGTTTCGGGACTTTGGAACAGAGCACGAGGGGGACGGAGCGTTGACTTCATTAGACGAGACCTCTCCAACTTAACGTTTAGGTTCAGTGTGCCTCTAACCATTCGGTGATCGCTACCAGTTTTCACTCTCGCGATCACGGAGACATCACTGAACAGTTGTCGTCTGGTCGTCATAATGAAGTCAATCTCATTTTTTGTCGAACCGTCGGGGCTCGACCAGGTCCACTTCCTGTGGGGCCGCTTCTGGAAGAAAGAGTTCATCATAAAGAGTCCCTCTTTCTCCATGAAGTCGGCCAGCTGCTGGCCCCTTGGGTTCCGTTGCCCTATTCCAAATTTCCCTACTTTCAGCTCACCGGTCTCTCTTGTGCCTAGTTTTGCATTGAAGTCTCCCATTAACACCGTATATTGGGTTTTGGAGGAATGCATGGCTCTAGAGATATCCTCATACATTTCCTCCACCTCCCCATCGGGGTGTGCCGAGGTTGGTGCGTAAACCTGTATGACCTTCAGCGAATACCGTTTGGTGATTCTGAGTATAAGGTACGCAACCCTCGTCGACACACTCCCGATCTTTACAACGTTGTTAACTAGAGACTTGTGGACGATAAATCCGACACCTCCTTGGGACAGATGGTCGCCCTCCCGGTGATAGAGCAAGTTGCCGGATTCGAGGATTACCGTGTCCTCCCCCTCTCTTCGGACTTCGGATAATCCTATAATATGCCAGCGCAACTTGTCTATCTCTTCTTCCAGCTCCACGATCTTTTCGTCAGTCCTCAGGGTGCGTGCGTTGTACGTTGCCAGGTCGAGTCGTCTAAGGTGGCAACCGAACCTCCACCGGAGATTCTTAGCACCCCCTGCCCCGCCGTTACCATGGTCGCCACCGTAGCCAGGAATAGCGGGGCCGCCGGGGACTGGGGGCCGTTTCTTTGTTACTGTCATTCATAGGGGGATATTTGCCATAGTTGCCACGCTTGGTGAGCGGGTTGGCAACCGCAGTTTTTTTATTTTTATTGTTAGTTTGCTGTTATCAAGAAGATGCTGCTGCCCATCTCCTGCCTGTTTCCCTTTGTCGCCTTTTACGACACCCACGGGAGGATATGGGGTAGTGGTATTCTTGACCGCCACTACACGGCTTAATCATAGGTATATATTTATTTGTTGTTTATGTATTGTTTACGCCATTTTTGTTGAAAATAATTTTGCCATAATTTTCACGATATATCGAAATTATAATATAAAACGTCATTTTTTCACATTGGACTGTATAAAATATGAGTTTCTGTGTTTTTTTTCATGATTTATGGTGATTATTTACACTTTATATTTCATTTTCAGTTAATTCTGAGTACTTTATTTCATACGTGAACGACGGTATTTGAAATGCTAATTTTATAAATTGAATAAAAATTGTTAAAATACGAAATATAAGCAAAACTTTTTAAAAAACAATGTAATTACTTACCCTTTGTATAAAAAAACTCGACAAACTTTTCTATATAAATGTAAACACTCAAATTTTAAAAATAATACAGTAGGGCAAGAGTCACTGACACGACACAGGTATATACTGTAGTAAATACGACGCATCATGGCGGAAACTCGTCATTTGAACTAAATACTCTTATTTTATAGAAGCGTAATTTAGTAACGAGACTAGTTCTAATATTTTTTTTAGAAAATTAGATATATAGTTCTTATAAATAACATTTAAAAAACAATTGTTTTGAGAGATCTACAAAATGACATTTTGAGAATCCAAATGGATTCGCCGAGCTTTGAAAGGTTAAACAAATCCGAAACAACACGACCGTTATTATTGAATGTTTAAGTTTAAAAGAAGTAAATAGCAATGCTGTGATTAAAATTATTGATATATGAAGGTTAGTGCCATCTTTTTGTAAATTTGACGTGGCAGATCTCTTTTTGCAGCGAAAAATTAAACAATTTAACATTTTCGTAGGACATCGATTCAGCCGCGCAACTGGATTTAGTTTATTGAGCAGTGCCGTTGCAAATAGTTTAAACAGGACCGCCTGCACTTATACTTTAACAGAGGGGAACGCTTGCGTATGACTTCCCTCTGATCCGCCGGTGGCCCGTGTTTTTCTGTGTACTAGTAAACTGGCTCTGCGGTCTTTAAAAATTATGCAAGGTCAATTCTTCGTAACTCCTTTAGTTGACAGCGATCGGGCGGGAAGACTAGTTCTCTGTTTTACGCTACTGATAATCTAAAACTGATTTTATTTAATACGATTAAGAAAACGTTGTCATTATTTATGTGCGCACTTTGTCAATGTGATTTGAACTGTATTTCATATAAGTATGTAATTTTATTTAGTATTTGCCTAAAAACAATAACTGTCGTAAATGAAAATACTTCTAATATCTTGCGTGTCATATTTATCGTGCTAGATACGGGCCCGCGCCGTACCCACGTCGATTGCGCGTGATCCACAGCCGTGACACAGTTTTTGTTCTGAATTGCCGGTCTATTAGTATACATAGAAGACTGGCTGTAATGAATAGATGATGAGAAAATAAAATAAAAAGCGCTCGCGTCCCGTGTGCAGGACAGTAGAGCGCGAGCGCGCGGCCCGCATGGCGGCTGCGCGGCGAGCGGACCGCGGCGCCGTGCGAGCGCTGAGCCCGCTGCAGCACCCCGCCGCGCCCGAGGTGGCCGCGCGCCGCCGCGCCGCGCTGCAGCTCGAGCGCGACCTCGCCAAGCTGCACGCGGTACGTGCACGCACACGTAAACATGCACACGTACACATGCACACGTACACATGCACACGTACACATGCACACGTACACATGCACACGTACACATGCACACGTACACATGCACACGTACACATGCACACGTAC